TTTTTTTTTTTTTAATGAAAATGTTGAAAATGCTATATATTGCATGATAATCTCTAAGTATCTTTAAGTAATTTTATTTATGTAGGTTTCAATGGAAATGAAGAAATAAGAATTAGATATCAAATATTAATTATTTGATTGTACTTACCAATTATTCAAAAAATAATAAGTAACATCTTAGTTGGGACCTTGAGATATCCAAAATCATCAACCGATATTGTCTCCAATAGATATGCAAGTCATTTAAAAGCAATCCCTAAGGGGTTGCGATATAATTTGAAAAGAAGACATTGTTCTAACATTTATATAACGTTAACTAAAACATAATATATCGCTAAAACACAATAAAACTTTTATATAAATCAATTACCGAAATTAATCTAATCCTGTAAATGAAAAAGCGTTTAATCCGTATATGTGATGGACAATGTTGGTGTTGAATCACACACTTGAATCCAGTCCAAATCGACATTTTCAGTTGCCATTTGCCAAGGCTCGAGTTCGACCTAAGGGTTAAGCTCATTATCGTGCAAGTCATATGTTAAAGTGAGCTTACCGAACTACCAAAGTGAACCCACAAACAATCCAAGAAAATGGATAAAACGCCGAAGTCAATACCAAAATTGTGACCTCAAAATTTCTGAAGTCGGCGGCTGTGTCGCCAAATGAAAGTGTGAGCCCACCGAAAAGCCGGAAACTTAGAAGTAAGCTAGCTGCATGTGCTTATGGAAAGGGCGGAGCTCATTTAAAACCGTTTGGCTTCTATTAATCAGATGGGAAGTGAATAGAAATTGGATTTGTGATGCGTCAACTTGTTCATCAAATACAATAAATCTCTCATACATTTACTTTTGGGTAAAAAGGCTTGTCTACGAAGATCTATGACCTTTTTGATATATAAGATCCGAAAAAACTCTTTTGCATGTATCACAATATCCGTTTTCTGATTTCTTAACAAAACTAAATTGACAACATAGCTTATATATTTTCTTTTTGACGTCGGCAACATATAGCTTAACTCCAACATATGTATAAGCTTGTCCCCATTTAGCTAGAGTAATGACGACCACTGAATTTGATATGGAGATTTGGCAATTGGTACACGTAACCTCTAAATGGATCTTAATTTTACGACAATTTTTTTTACTTTCCAGTGTTTCCACGATCATGAATGGTGAACCACTGAATCTCCAATAAAATTTTAATTCGAAAATGAAAAAAAAAAAGATACGCTTTACCATTTTAGATTTGTTTATGAAATTAATTTTACTACAGACAAAAATAAGGAAAATGTATGTACCGTAACGTATATGTATTTAAACTATGGGAATATAAAATGGAGGCAACTGGGGGAGCTTGATGCGGTTAGGGAAACAACGACGACCCTTTCGTGACCCTTTGAGCCACTTTCACTACATTTACATATATATATATATATACATTTACATTTATATAATATATATATATATATATATATATATAATCGTTTTTAACATGTACTATACATAAACGAACCATGTCGATCGTACTATATAAAAATTTACATTGACGACAAAAAAAATAAGTATATAAATTTTAGTATGTATTTATCTTGAAATATATGGAAAACAACCATGTCGTCGTACTGCATAAAATAAATTGATGGAAAAATAAGTATGTAAAGTTAGTACGTGTACAGTGTACTGTATCTGGAGATTAATTAATCTTTCTACTATGTTTTTTCTTTTAAATCGTATCCAATAGTTATCGATCGGTACAAAGCAATGGCCAGAATATCCCAAATGTGTGTTTTATTTGACTCACCGTCAATTCAAACACAATTATCCTGGCGATAATCATAATTCTAATCCCTCTTGTTGTTTTAAAAAAAAAATCATGTTGTTTTGTCTTAAAGCAGCTCTTTTGATTTCATATAAACATATTTAAGCAGCACTTTTCATTTCATATAACTATACCACTTGACACATGCGGCTATATTTTTTTAACCATTTGATATTTTTCGTATTGGTATAGTTGGACACTTTTACTGTTTATAGTCCGGGTCTTGTATTAAAAAATATGACACTTGGAAAGTTGGACGCTATGGAATTGAATTTTACCCAGAAGGCCAGAACTATTTTCAATTGAAACTAATAAGTTAAAAACCCCCAATACAAAAATAAGTAAATACATACTATATATAATAGTAATACAGTAGTAATACTATATATAATACAGTAGTCGTATCAAATAAAAAGAAAAATGCAAAACCAATAATTTTGATTAAATCATAGTATATAAGAAAACATATTACTGTTACGAACCCATCCTATAGGACGATCCAAGATTCGTAAAGATCAGTCTATACAATAATACAAACATTTTTAAAGAAGCAACATCATATTTTCATGTAATAATAATTTCAAATCATCTTTCTAAATAATAATATAAACTCTAAAAAACATTAATGGCTGTGGCAACTGGCAATTGTAACAAACTAACAATGTGGATAATGTGATTAGTAAATTTGTAGCTATATTCACCACATGCAGTCAAAATGTTGGGTAATCATATATTAAAATCATAGAATAACATTTTTCAGTAGCCTAAGACGATAAAATTGTTAAGATAATCAATTTACACTATGCAATCGCCAACTGAAATAAAGGTTAAATAGTTTGAGGTCAATATACCGCCCTGAATGACTTGACGACGCAAATGGTACTACACCTGCATTCTGGTATTTTCAGAAAAGTAAAACACTAGAGATGCATCAAAAGAACATTTTAAAATATTATAATATCGTCAAAAAAAACAATAAATTCTGCATGAAAATCAGAGCAGAGATCCGAGAAAAGCTTAGCTATATAACATTTTCGCAATAGCAAAGGTCATATTAACGCATATAGCCTCCCCTAGGTGTTCCCTTTCGTATACTTTTTTGCAATAAATCTTGTTATTTTTCCTTTGTTATTGTGAATCCTGAAGACAGTGAAGTGAAGTGGAAAGATGCCACACAGACACTAATTATGATTTTCTATTTAATTAATCTATTAAAGCCCTTTTAATTTATAGTGTTTTAGTTTGATGGAAAATAATTGGAGTTAACCCCTGCTGGTCAAAAAAACATATCATAGACATTAGAGCAACATTATTGGGGAGGTCTTAGTTTTGGTTCTTAAGCCAATTTTTTGCTCTTAAGCCAATTTTTTTGCTCTTAACTAAGAACCATTCCTTAGCAAATCAACATTTCAACCTTTAATTTTAATCACTCATGAGCTAAGAACTAAGCTAAGGACCTCCCAATAAAGATGGTCCAGCTGTGGTCCAATGGATTACAATTTTTTTTCTTATTTATTTAACAACAAAGATGCAAATTCTTTAATAATCATACAGTTTTGGAACATTGTTGTTGTTAAGTCAAACTATTTTAATGTTTTCCTTCTTTATAATGGATAATTGTGAGATTCTTGTCAGCATTTTTATATCATTTAAGCTCTTTATTTGAATAGTACATATAAACTATAGTAAATAAAACTAAAAAAAAAAGCAAAATTTAGTCATTAGTAGTTGATTTTGTTTCATAAGCGTATTATTTGGTTGGCAACAAGCCAACAACTAACAAAAAGAGTTCTATTTCAGGCCCAAAATAGTTCAAGACAAGATTTGTTATCATAAGCCCAAAGGCCCATTAGACTCATTTTTGATAATTGTAAATGGGGAAGTCAGCATTTTGATCGTTGACTGTGGGAGTAGTTAGACTTACCAACGAATAAGCCGCATGAGATGATGACACGTGTCATTCCGATTAAGTAAGAAATCGTCTCTTGCTTGTTTCCTCCTAATTAACATTAAAATCTTGATTCGAGTTTGAAGAAGCCAACTCCAACAACAACAAAAATTATTATCAAAGAAATGCAAATGGGATATGAAAATCCAAGGATTATGTACGGTGTGATCATCACCGTGTACGTTGATCGTCAAACGACGACCGTCCGATCATTTCAAGGGAGACGGAAAAATGATGAAGGGGAGAGATTCATTGAACGGACGTGGAAGCCTGGGATCGGAAAGATACGTGGTTATGATCGGAGAGCGAATCTGTTAGCTTATATTCGTCAGATGAGGGCCGAGAGTCTCACCGGAGATTCGAAATGCGACGTCGTAGAGAGTGACAACAAGCCTGAACGGCTGAGTCCGAGTCCGAAGGTAACGTTTCTCTGATTTTCTTGATGAGTTATTACAATTTAATTGGGCCGGATATGGGCCATGACTTATGGTTCATCTTGACTTGCGTTTATACTTACGCAAAAATTAAAGAGCAAGTAAGCAGTTGCGTCTGAATGATTAGTGATGTTGAGTGTTGACTGTTGAGTGTTGAGTGTTGACTATGATATGATGTAAAATGGAATGTCAAGTTTAAAACCTTATATTGTTAATAAGCAGAGTATTTTTCTTTGTAATAAAATAAGTAAATAATTGTTTTAAACCAGCTATGCTAAGTAAGTTTACACTTTTTTTTTGTCTTGATTAAAATGGCAGAAGAAGAAAAGAAGGTGGATAAGAAAAATGATGAGTAAGTTCCGGTTACCGTTTCTTCGTCCATTTCGACGAAAAAATAGAACGTGGAGATACCGCCATTTTGTTCCAGATGAAGAAGGAGAAGCAAGGAGCAAAGCTAAACACAACTCAGATCTTTGGGTACTTCCGCTTTTTCTTTTCTGTTTTTTCTTGCTGCTAGTAATAATCTAGACTTTTCTTTCTTAATCGTGTTCTATGATTTCTGAACGAAGAATAAGCTTAAACATATGGTTGGAGGATTATCACGCGGTTGCGTACGAAGTAGAAGAGATTCTTGATGGACACAACAAGAATCAAGGAACGGATTATTGTCTGAAGTTGGCTAAGAAGAAGTGAGAAATTTTTTTTTTTCTATTTTTCTTTTCACATAACCTTTTTATTGGTCTTCCAGAACTTGAGGAAGATGAAGATCAAATCAATACAGAGAAAAAAAAGGGAAATAAAAGAGAGATTTCGAAATGAGGCATAAGAGATCATGCCTCATAGAGTACAACAATGCGGAAACAATACTACAATTACACAGAATACATAATTTACATGAAAATAAATAAAAGAAAGGGACGACTGCGAGTTTTTTTTTTCAATTCCCTGTGTATGGCTAATTGGCTAGTCATGTTAGCCTTTTTATACTGCTCCTGCAATTTTTAAGTCAATTGTAATCGTGGAGAGAGGTTGAGAAATATGCAGAGGACATTGATCATGAATTTGCTTTGGTTAATATTAAAGTTACCGACCTCTATTGCCACCTCTCTGGTTCCTTGGAAAGAGCAAACGGTGAAGCGAACGACTTGGAGAAGCAGGGGAGCTGGAAGAGGATGCGAAATCACTTGATTCCATATCAAGAAACCGAATATGATGGCTTTGTCCTTGCCATGATGATTCTAGATCTAATATCCCGTTGCTCAGAGAGTCATCTGAGCTGTAATCTTCTTCTTCATCTTCTTCATCATAAACAGCTCGGTTATGGGGCTCTATCACATAATCTCCCAACACAACAGCACCTGGTGTCGATGACATTATCGTGCTTATCACGTCTCTTCTGTCTCTTTCCCTCTCAAGCCTCTTCCATTTGGTTTCCAGAGCTGGATCAATGGCTCTCGGGCAAGCATGTGGGTGTTTTTCCTTCATATGTTTCTTGAGCTTTCGGAAGTTTCCTAAAAAGGAACAGTTATCCTGCATACAAGTCCTTCTCTTGGAGTTGAAATGCATCCGAGCATCTTTCACAACAGTCCAACCTTTCACTTGACCTCTACACAGTGGACACAAAAGCTCGGGTTGTCCTGAGTTCTCGTTACTATATGATTTCCTGTATTGCTCGAGGCAGTTGGCAAAACGGCTGCTTGTTGCACACATGTAAGGACGACATCCTTTGTGATACGACGAACACAGGAGAAGAACCGCATTGTGTGGAGACTCCAGGCATACTGGGCAGGTTGAGCCAGCCCATTCTTTCTTGCAACATGGTGATGGATAAGGTGTAGCAATGTGACCCCTTTGATTCGCTTTCTTGAATTTCCCCATTCGATCGATTAAAAATCTATTAAAGAAAAAACTCAATTGTAAGATTCATCCAAAGTAGTAACCAACAAGCAAAATTCAAACGAGTCATCACTAATATAATATAACACTCTCAAAGAGCAGTTTGGAAAAAATGTCAATTCATAAAATCAAACAAAAGCAATGCTCTTTGATGTCCATTGACCTTGGATCTAAATCTCCGAGTCAGGAAACTATGCATAAGCGACCAAATCTCTGATCCAAATCTCCGATTCAGGAAACTATCCATAAGCTATCAGATAACTACTACACTATAGTTGTAAACTTCTAATTCTAACCAATAGAGTGAGCATTAACCGGATCCTCAAATGGCAATCACAAGCAAATTCACAATTAGATCCACAGACAATGCAAAATTCCAGATCTGTAGAAGAAAATCTGGTAAATTAAATCCAAAATTCATGCAAAAGCAAGCAACGCATCAATAGTAAACCAGATTTTATCGATCCACATATAAGATCGAGACGAATCATACAATTCAATGTTTGATAACACACAAACAAAGACCTAAGATCTAACCTAATCGAGAATCTAAGATAGATCTCTCTACCGAAACTAGAAGATCGGAGACCTTTAGCGAATCTCACCTAAACAAATTTGGAGAAAGAGATGACGAAGGATAACAGATTAAACGATGCGGAAGAAGGCGCGGGAAATAGTACCGGAATTAAACGGAGGAGATCGCCGGCGGGAATAGAGAGCTCCGAGCTTGAAGGATGATGATGTACAGATAAAAAGGGAAAAAAAGCGAGATTGCTTCTAAGAATTGACGTACGCAAACAAAGCCAAATAACTCTTTTCTTTTTGATTTTAAACTTGCGGTTGGATTCCTATATGTCGTCATTTTGACGCAACCGTTTTTCTCATCAAAATTCTCGTGTCGATGGGAGTATCTCGCGCATACGATATGACCGCTGTGTTTCTTTTAATGGGCCTTCAGCCCATTGTATTTGTTGTTATTACGAGGTCCAGATTTTGGAGAGAGGCGAAATAATTCGACATTATCTTTGAATTAACACATTATCTTTTTCTCGATGAACACCAATTTTTAAAAATAATTCGACATATATTTGAATACTGGCGACCCATGTTCTAGAATATAGGCGAAATATTACGAGGACCTATATTTGAATTAACACATTATCTTTTTCTCGATGAACACCAATTTTTAAAAATAATTCGACATTAAATAAAATAAAATAAAAACAAACTGGTTATTATGAGCATAGTCCAAATAACCCAACTATAGCCTTCCTTGTCGTAGCTAGAGACATTTATATTCCACATATCGTAGACAGGAGCCATATCAGGATTGAAGAATCCGAAGCTTTTTTCTACCTCTCCTTCTTTCAAATCCTCATTGAACATTTCAAAGAAAAAAGTCATCACAGGGACATTAGGCCGTCTCGGAGTACCCTTATGACCTGTGGTTAGTTTCTTAAGCAACCCCTGGTTATAGGCACGAGCATTCTCCACGCTCGTGTATGGAACATTTCCTCTAGTAGGCCAACCAGTCTCCGCTACGTACACCTTCACGCTTCCGTGGTTGATCTTCTCTAACGCTGCGTTGAAAGCATCCAACGTTGCATCAAATATGTTCGTGTATTGGTATTTTCCGTCTGTCACTACCGGTGAAGTCGAACGGAACGTTGCGTATTCTAATGACACTTGGGTAGGGTCTGATGCGTAAGCGAAATAAGGGTAAACGTTGACCATGAGTGGTGAATCGGTAGAGCTAAGAATCGATACGATTTCGGTTATAAGTTCGGTTATCGCCGGTTTAAATACTCCGGCTGATGGTGGGTAAGAGTTAGCGAGTGCGGCTGTGGATATGACGGTGGTGACGTGGATCTTTGAGTTTCCGATTTCGGTCAATGCAGCTTTTATATTCTTCATGGCTTGTGGCACGTAACGTCCGATCTCTCCTTCGATCACTTCGTTTCCCACAGTGATCCAATTGAAAGCTACGTTTTTGTATGGTGCTATAAACGTTTTTACCCAATTTAAGGCAAATTCGTAATGTTCGGCTAATGTTTTGATTTCTTCGTTTTTTGGTCCGATGGCTACGAGAAGACCAGTTCCTTGTAATGAGACGATGAGGTCGGGGACAGGCTCGTATAGTCTTATCCCAGCAACGTTTATTTTCTTGTATAGAGATACTATTTGTGCCGGAGATGGGAGATTGTCTCCGTTTCTTCCATCACAGACTCCGACAAACGGATTCATGTTTCTGGCCGCAGTTAATCTGGCTAAAATAAAAAGAAGAGTAATTACAAGAAACACTGTCGAGTTGCTCATGATTTAGCTCCGCAAGCATATGTTAGTGTTTGTCTCTCTCTATATATATTTAGGTTTTGTGTTTTATCATGTGGACATATTTTCACTCCTGCGTGATTTATGTTTGGTGCTGCTTAAATGGATAATAATGAAGTAATATACTTAGGAAAGTTTGTGTTGCTCAATCTTCTGTCAATTAATGATAATTGTAAGTGGGTTAATACATGTATTAAAGCTGTTATTACTTTGGGAAATTTTTAGCACATTTTATCTTATTGCTATGAAAATTTTTTATAACATGTTATCATCTGTAAAAAGCTTAGTTGCAAACTTGCAATGACCTTATGAAATCTTGCGAAAGTTTATTTTAGATTTCATACTCTTCTTTTACTTATTTTTCTTCTAAAAAGATTAAAATTAATTATTTTGGAAAATATCTTAAAAATATCCACAATGTTAAAGATATAATCTGCAAATTTTTATTTTTGTGAAATATATTAGAGCGAGTAAATCCCACGTCAAACTAGATCCTTCAAAAAGATGGAAACCATGATATGCAACATATAATTGTCATGTTTTATAACATTAACATTAATATATGCAACATATGCCGTCAAAAAAACATTAACATTAATATCTTTGTCCAGCTACTGACATCTAATTTAGTGTACCATATCTTGAAATTTCTGCTTTCAATGAGTTGATTTGATTCTCTCTTCCTCTCTTGTCCATGTGCTCATTTGATTAACTTTAATTATTTTCAGTGATCAAGTTTTAGGGCTTGATTGGTTCTCCCGCTAGCACCCTCCTAGCGGTTGCTAGCGGTCTGTTGCGGTTGTTAGCGGTTGGTACCAATCATAGAAATCGCTTCGTACTGCTTCTAATCGCTCGAAATCGCTGAATTTCAAAAGCTCCTTCCCGCAAGCGTTTGCGGCTGTGGGCGGTAGCGGTTGGATTTTTTTTTAAAAATCAAACGTTTACTTATAATTATTATAATATATATCAATCATATATATATATCTTTCATCTTTGTATCACGTTCTCATCAGAAACCCTAATAATATTCTGAATCCCTATTCTCTCAATGTCTTCCACCCAAACTGATGAAAATCAAGAACCAAACGTAAGTATCATATATCCTTTTATTCATTCATCACCTCATGTGTAACTTTTTGAATATTTTTCATGGCATCGTTTTTTTCTTTTCATTACGTATTGCTTTGCTTTTTGATTGAATATATGTTTCGATTTATTTTCTCAAATAGAGACTCACTTGCTTTTTGATTGAATTCAACGTTATTTACAGTTTGTCCCATTACTTGATGCAATTTTTGGTGTTAAACCAGATGCATAAAGTACTATCTTGTTACAAAATTTCTTTATTTTTGAATAAATATATTGTACTTTATTTATTCAAACAAAAACCAGAATCATGTTCAATTTTTCTAATATTATCATAAAAATATATTGGTCTTTTTTATTTATTTTTTTGTAATATTTTTTATTTATCTTGGTCATTTTTTATTTAACTGCTACCGCACCCGCTGGTTTACCAGTCATAAAATTCCCGCAAACGCACCCATTTTCAAACGCTAAACCAGTCGTTCAAAACGCTTAGTAACACTTGAAACCGCAACCACCCGCTTCCGCAAACTCCCGGAACCGCAACCGCAATCGCTGCGTTTAAACCAGTCAGGCCCTTACTATCCTACTTAGTAAAATGAAATCTTCTAGGAAGTAAATGCATAAATAAATTTAATTATTGCATGTATCTATTTTTGTACCTTAAAAATTAACACTTTAAGTAAATGCACTAAAGTATTTTTTAAATAATTTAAGCGGGAAAATTAATCAACTCTAATAACAAAAGAGATCGTAGACTGGAGTCATATCAGGTGCAAAGATTCCGAAGCTCTGCTCCACCGGACCATCCTTCTGATTCTCTCTGAACATCGCGAATAGAAACACGTCCACCGGCGTCTCCGGCCGGCGAGGCGTCCGCTTCCGTTGAGATCCCCCACATGTCCTAATCCCCAAATTGTAGGCCTTGGCGTTATCAACACTCGTATACGGTGGATTTCCCTCCGTCGGCCATCCAGACTCCGCCACCATCACCACCACATTTCCGGCGTTGATCTTCTCCAACGCCGCATTGAATCCGTCCACCATCGCCTCGAACATGTTGGTGTACTTCAAATCACCGTCGATCACTACCGGCGTATCGGATTTGAAACTAGCGTAATCGAGTGAGATGTGATAAGGATCTGACGCGTATGCGAAGTACGGGTAGATATTGGTCATGAGAGGCGAATTCGTCTGAGAGAGTATCGATGAAATCTCCGTCATGATCTCGGTTAGATCTGGGAGGAATGTTGCAGCTGAAGGTGGATATGAATTGGTCAACGCGTTCATAGCTAAAACCGTTGTGACGGCTATTCCTGTGACGCCGGAATTCGTTAGCGCGGCGTTGACGTTTCTGATCGCGGCGGCGACGAATGGAGCGATTTCTCCGGGGAAGACTTCGTTACCGATTGTGATCCATTTGATTGCGACGTCGTTTTGGTAAGGTGTGATCCAGGTGGCGACGAAATTTGTTGCGGCGGCTGGATCTTGGGCTAGGGATTGGATTTCTTCGTTTCGTGGACCAAACGCGACGGAGAGACCTGAGCCACGGAGAGCTTCGAGCATGTCGGCGAAGGGCTCGTACATACGGATTGCGTCGATGTTGTTGGTTTTGTATAAAGCTACTGTATCTGCCGGCGTTGGGAGATTGTTGCCGTTCCGGCCGTAACAAACTCCGGTGATGTCCCCTGCAACACCTAGAAGATGCAGAAACAAAAATAAATTTCAGTTTACCGGGATAAATCAACAATAACACGAAATTTAATAACCGAGTCCGTGTTACGAATCGGGATAAACCAATCCGGTTTACGAATTAAATCGATTGGAGCAAAAATAACACGAAATTTATTATAACCAAACCGTACTCAAAAGGCGGAGGTAGAATAAACCGGATTACATCCAAAGAAAATAAAACCAGGACATAATGCTTCTTAATTTAAACATAATTTGATGGTAGAACGAAATTTGATTAGATAAAGTTGAGTTTTTTTTTTGTGTGTGTGTGTTAAAAAATATAATATTCAATAATCAGTTTTTACCAGCTGGGCAAAAGATTTGGATGGATAGGAGGATCATAAATATCACAATCGTTAAACCGGTTGGTTTGGAATCCATTGATGTATAGTGCGTGTAAAAGAACTGTTTATGAGAGAATTGATATGATTCTTCTAATGTGTTTGTGTATGTTTGAAGATGTTCTTGTTGGTGAATGTGGAATGTATTTAAGGGTGATTTTTTAGGAAGCATGAGTAATTACTTCTTAATGACAATTGATGGTGGATATCTCTAATATAATCAAGGCACTCAAGCATGAATTGTTTATTTATCCATTAAATGAAAGATTAAGTATCGTAGTTGCACCTAGTTTCGCAACTGATAAAACTATACAAATTCGTGATATAACTTTGTCATTTAATGGATGATCAACCATTTTTTTTTTGTTAACTAAAACATCATATTATTATGGTCACTTCACTTGGGCTGGGGTCGAGCGTTTTATATCATAGGACTTACTCATCATTTTTTATATCAAGTACTGCAAAAAATGAAAACCACATAATGACCTTTACAGAGTAAAATATATCTGAAGAAACTTTACTCGTGAAAGTAGGGAATACGAACCACAAAAGATGATGGAATTAAAAGTAAAATTTTTAAAGAAAGATCAAAAGAAACGGACTTACCAAATTTACTTCCAAACTAAAGTGAACAAAAGTACAAAACCAACCACAAAAGACAACACGCGTTTCTATCAATTGGCGTGTTGTCTTTTGTGGTTGGTTTTGTTCACTTTAATTTGGGATATGTTAAGAAAGTTAATAAGATATTTGTTTACCAAATCAAGATTTCAGTTGTGTACTAGTTTGTTGGTTTGTGCAAGAGTTTTGCCTAGCTATTTAAGGCAAGATAAAATTTTCATCATTTATATTAGTTTCCACAAAATTTGAGGTTCCACCAAATTGGTAAATCATTGATATCAATACGGTAATTTTATCATTTCATAAAAAAACGTTTGAAATAACGTATGCATAAACAATTCAATCAACCTGAGCTACCTAATTGTATCATTAAGCCATCCAAATTCTATTTCAGTAAAATCTAGTTTGGATCAATTTAGCAGTCCGTTTTTTGATACTCAATAAATATGAAAGCCAAAGCATTGTAAATAGCGGATTCTAGTTTAATTGGTGGGCACAAAGAGTCATTTTCATATTAACATAGAACATGTACATCACATGTAATTAATACATACATTCTCTTTCGGCCAAATCAATCATAATCAAAATATAAAAATGAAATAAAATAGAGCAAATCTAACAAGAAACAAAAAAATAGAGTGATATCATCATCATAAACAATACGATGGCTTTTAAAACAGAAAGTTAAAAACTAAAATAAAAGAAAATCTAAAAAAGAATGGGAAGAATCTAATTTGGATCTAATTGAACATCTGAAAAAGGTAAATGACCTAAATCTCCATTTACTACAAAAAGAAGGATCAAATAATAATTAAAGAATTGGAGAGGTAAAAAAAGCATATCCCGTACGAATGAATCAACATGGTCGTATCTCGTGAGTCATCTAACGAGTAAAAATCAAACACGTGTCGTAACAAAAGAGGTGCACGAGGGCTACCCTACGCCTCACACCTCTCTATCATATTCTCTGAATAAAAAGCTGAAAAAATAATTAAAAAAATTCTGCCAAAAATGAACCGTTCCTCTGTTGCCTGCAAATAACGCGAAAATCTCTCTCTGAGAAAAAAAAATAAAATAAAAGAAAAAAAAGAACCGAACCAGTCGTGGGACGGATCCGAAAGAACATGAACCAGAGAAATTTGAAGAAGAAACCCTAATCTTAGCCTCGCTTTTATTCTTCTTCATCTTCTTCTTTCTTCTTTCTTCGTTCTTAATCTGAAAGGCGCCAAGATTGGTACGGGTGAGCTAGGTTAGGGTTAGGATTTAGGCTCGGGAAATTAGGGTTAGGGTTTTGATTAATTGTCTGTTTCTTTCTCCCGTTCTTTGGGAGGTGAAATTGAAGGCGGAGTCGTATCGGAGGATTTGGGATTTAGGGTTAGGGTTAAGTGTTTTTTCGTTTCATGGGAGGTGTGGGAGTTTATGGTGGTGGTTTGTGTCGGCTATGAACGTTGACCAATGCCAGTGGCGGAAGAAGATGATGGGTAGGGGAGTGGACGGAGGTTGTGGTGCTGAAGAGAAGCCTTATCGCCCATTTCGTAGGGCTGTGTTAGATAAGGAGAATGGGAACAAGGGCTCTGAGGATATGGGTTCGTTGGATATCGATTTCTTAGCTCAAGCTAGCAAAAATCTTTCTGAGAGGTCTCCATATGATGTTCCTGAAGATGGTTCTACTTCTGGGTTAAGTGTTCCTACTCTACCCATTGCTTTAGCTAATTTGCTGAAGAACCATGCGAATAACAAGAAACGGCATAAGAAGTCTCATTCTGGTGCAGATAAGAAGAAGAAGAAGTCTTCTAGGCAAGGAGATAAGTTGAGAAGTGGGAGTATCTGGCTTGAACATGAGGACTACTTTAGGCGCTTAGATTTTCCTGATTTAGAAACTTTGTCAGATTTAGCATCTCTACGATCTTTATCTTCTAGAAATTGCCTTTCAGTTCCATCGGTGGAATTCGAGTCTATTAATATTCAACAGAGGGAAACCGATGCGAGTGCCAAGAATGAGGATGTTGTTTGTGGAGATGGCGTTGCTCTGCAACAAATTAAGAACCTTCTCAGTAAAGAGATATCTGAAGGCACAGTAAGAAAAGAAGAGGATGTTGTTCAGCCAATGAATGTTGACAATGTGGGGAATGGAATCTCCTCTGGGTCTGACTATTCTGGTAGTTTAGAATGGGTTTTAGGTAATAGAAATAGGATTTTGTTGACATCAGAAAGGCCCTCCAAAAAGCGGAAGCTTCTTGGTGGTGATGCAGGTTTGGGGAAATTAATGGTTGCGGCTCCTTGTGAAGGAAATGCATTGTTATGTGATTTTTGCTGCACTGGTGATGCCAAGGAATATCATCACCAGTTGATTGTTTGCACTTCCTGCAAAGCTACAGTTCATAAAAAATGCTATGGCCTGCTTGAAGATTCAGATAAATCTTGGTTGTGCTCTTGGTGTGAGCTGGAGAATGGTCGTGGTGATTCTGAAAGACCATGCTTGCTGTGTCCAAAAAAGGGTGGCATCCTTAAACCTGTTCTCTCAAAACTTGAGAATGGTGGGCCGGCGGAGTTTGCTCATCTGTTTTGTTCTCTGTGGATGCCTGAGGTGTATATAGAAGACTTGAAAAAAATGGAGCCCATCTTGAATTTGCCTGGAATAAAGGAAACCCGGAGGAAGTTATTGTGTAACTTGTGCAAGGTGAAATCTGGTGCTTGCATTCGCTGTTGTAATGGTATGTATTGTTGCTTTCTGTGCATCCAGTCTACTTCTAAGCATGGGTAGCATTGATATTGTTAATGATATGTTCTATTGTATAGTTTGGGTATTTCACTTAATATGCTTATTCCTTGGAACAATTTAACAAATGTGCAAAAAACCTACGCATACGATAAAAGAATGGTGAGTACTGGTTGCTCATAATCCGAGTCCGTTATAAAAAGCCTATTTGTCACATCAAATTGGGGTTCATTTGGCTTTACTGCTGTGCTCACAGTCGTTGTCCTTTCTTTGCCTATGCCGGATAACCCAATTATCTGGATCATTTTCACTGGAAAATGCCTTGTTGACATTTATTATCACATTGCAGTGTTTTTATTTTCTTCTTCTTTTTGGCAGTGTTTTCATTTTCTTATTTACTTGTCACACTTCTCTTTGATTCAATTTATTTTGTCTCCATTTGTTGGTAAATATCAGATAGTAATTGATACGTGATTACAATCTCTTGATCATAGGAACATGCCGAACATCTTTCCATCCTATATGTGCAAGGGAGGCAGGGAATAGGCTAGAGGTCTGGGGAAAACATGGGTGTGATACTGTAAGTTTCATCTACAGAATGAAATTGTAGTGAGTGCTGTTTTTCTATAATGATATAAGAAAAACTTGTAGGTTGAACTGCGAGCTTTCTGCTCGAAGCATTCAGATATTCAAGAAAGTGGAAAGTCCGTAGAGGGAGGAGAAAGTAATGCAGCTGAAAGTCGTTCTCCTATATGTCATATTCCATCAGAATCTGTTAGAGAAAGTCACCTAAGTAATGATGAGATGGGAGTTGACGTAGGAACACCGGGTACAGGTTCTGATATTTCGAGAAACAGTGAGTTACAAGAGCTAGAATCACCACACTCAAAATTTAACTGGTCTGCAACAGACAATGTAGAATCAGGGATGACTGGGAGAAGCAATGAAGATGAAAGAACTCTGTCCAAGTCTCTTAGTTTTGGATTGATTCTGAAAAAGGTTTATATATTCTTATTTGCTGGATTGTCTATACCTGTTGAATCTCTTGCTCACTGATTCACATTTTTTAGTTGATCGACCTGGGTAAAGTGGATGTGAAGGATGTGGCTGCAGAGATTGGGATTAATCCTGATGCTCTGAGTGCCAAACTTAAGGTAACGCGTAAAACTTCTCATATACCTGCTTCAAACCTCTATGCTCTCATTGTGAGTTTCTGTGTATTGATTTCAAAAATTTCCTTTGCAGGACGGAGACTTGTTACCTGATTTACTAGGCAAAGTAGTTAAATGGCTTAGCCAGCATGCACACATGGGTTCTTCGGATAAAGGCAAAAATTTAAAACGTAAGACAACTACTAAATCTGAGCGTCGGGCAGCTATCTGTACTGAAGGCATAGTGATACTAGATTCTGACATCTTAGATCCTGCTGTAGCAAAGGCTTTTTCTATAGAGCGAACACATGAAAGCAACATTTGTAATAATACGACGAATAATACAATTTGTACGTTAACTGAAAATTGTACTGGTAATGGTATTGTGGTTGTTGAAGCTAAAGCTAATGGATCAGTTTTGAAGAAAGAAGGAAGTGTGAGTTTGGCACCTGATCATTTTCCCGAAGAACCGGTAATCACCAAATCTTAACTGTTATGTTCTGATTATTTTTCTTAAAATTTAGATGCTTTCTCATGATCTGCATCACAAATAGTTGTTACTTGTTAGATCTGTCATCAAATCTGGCCAAACGCAGGCGTGGTCGTAGTCTTTTATGCACAAGGACCTCTGGATTAGATATTTGATGTTGTGTCTTGTTTCTCATGTACAGAATTCAATAGTGCTTGATCAGGAAGTTCATCATGGGAAAAGTTCAGTTCTTCCCTCTGGTATGTTTTAACTTTTCACTATTTTTTCTTCCATATCCCATGTAGTTATATTCCAAGCTTGTAGGTCAGCATTTTTTTGTTTTTTAAGTTGGTAGTTTCTATTGAGGATGTCTCTTCATCGTCCAATGTTTATTAGACTTAATAATTTTTTATCCTTTCTTAGTTGATGGTAGCTGCTGCTGATCTTGTTTCTAATCTTTTGAGTAGATGATCATGGAGAACAATCAAACTCCAGTTCTTCTGGAGTCATGCTGGAGAATGCCTTTTCCTTGGGGCCAAATAGTTCTCAGAATCATGGAAATTTGAACTGTCCAAACCCCATTATCTTGGATCTCTTGTAAGCTCCAGAAACGCAATTGGGAGACAGTTTCTGTTGTTCTCTCGGCTAACATAAAAATCCTGTCTTCTAAATCAATTTTTTTTAACATATGATCATGCAGCGATCATGAAGCATATCCTGGTTCCAAACCTCATCCTTATATCCACAAAGAATTGTCAGAACTGGGCAAGGGACAGACCCTGAAAAGCAGCACGGATTCTGATGTGGCTAGGATGACAACCAAATTTGATGGTATAGACTTTATGATTACTGCCACAGCTTTTAGGACATTTGGTAACATTAAATCATTTGGCAGGCTCTGAAGAAGGAAACAAACATCTGCAGGGTGCTGGCGATCACACTATCTTTCGTAATCACCAAAATCAGAGTGCAGAGACATTTCGTCAGTTATCTAAAGCTAGGAAATTGGGCATACTGGATCTGTCTCCTAAAGATGAAATGGAAGGAGAACTTCTATATTATCAGCTTCAGTTACTTGGCACTGCAGTTTCAAGAAAGCAACTATCTGGTGAGTTGATTATCCATTTTTAATTGCATGGTCCCAATACTTGATGTTTTCTGCACTATATCTGTTATAGTATTCTAAAATTGGTCCTTTTCAGACAATTTAGTTTATGAAGTTGCTAAAAAGCTGCCTCTGGAAATTGATGAACAACATGGACGAAGATGGGATGATGTTCTTGTCAACAAATATTTCCATGATGTCAGGGAAGCAAGAAAGCAAGGTAGGAAAGAGAAAAGACACAAACAAGCCCAGGCTGTTCTAGCTGCTGCTACTGCTGCAGCGGCGACATCTTCTAGGAATACATCGCTTAGGAAAGATATGTCAGAAGAACCTGCACAACAAGAGGTTGTTGTTGTTGCTACATTTAGATTTTTTCCTCCATGTATTTATTTTAGTTGTGCCATATTTCTTATCCATTATTCTTACTGGTTATAAATCGGACAGATGAGCACTTCTAGACGTAGAGTTGCTGGCAGCTCTCACCTAGTGCCACAGACAAAGGAAACACTTTTAAAGATGACTGTTTCTGGACCACCTTCCGAGAAGCGGTCTGATCATCGCACACCAGACTTTTCAGTAGAAAATCCACGAACTTGTGACATCTGCAGGCGCTCCGAAACTATATGGAACCTGATTGTAGTGTGCTCTAGTTGCAAGGTGATAGACTTTTCCTGTGATTTATTTCTAATGTTTTATTAAGGCATGATTATCTCTTCTGGGGACCGCTTTTATGCACTGTATGGTATCTGATAAGGCTCCAATTACAGGTTGCTGTTCACATGGATTGCTACAAATGTGCTAAAGAATCTACTGGTCCCTGGTACTGTGAGCTATGTGCGGAGTCATCTTCAGAACCTTCTTTCAATTTTGGGGAAAAACCGAATTCTTCTACACAATGTACTCTGTGTGGTGGCACAACTGGGGCTTTTAGGAAAACTACAAATGGGAAATGGGTTCATGCTTTTTGTGCTGAGGTGAAGTTTCCTTTTACAGCAGCAGTTATTAGCAGGGTCTGGAGTACTATATTGAGTATTGAACATTGCAAATAACTTGGTGTATAATTTCTCTCAGTGGTCCTTGGAGTCAACGTTCAGAAGGGGACAAATAAACCCTGTGCAGGGAATGGTGGGTTCATATAATTATAATACCGAATCACTGTGATGTTTAAGCTTTTTAAAAATACTAAAGCTCAATGTATGGTGCCTTATTAGGAGTCTCTGGCCAAGAACATGGACACTTGTTGTGTATGCCAACAGATATATGGTGCATGCATTAAGGTAGTCACCCTTTCTTGCTTTTTTATCTGAATACATCTATTTCAAGTATTGGGTAAAGATTGAACAAAAAGCTTATGTTGTCATTTTACAGTGTAGTTATGGTAACTGCCAGACGACATTCCACCCCTCCTGTGCCAGAAGCGCGGGTTTTCATATGACTGGAGGTGGTAAACATCCGCATAAGGCGTACTGTGAGAAGCATAGCATAGAGCAGAAGGCAAAGGTCTTATTTCTTATCTCTTTCGCCATCTTGATTATGGCCTACTTGCATCATAAGCTTGCTTATATCTGTCTGACTATGTTTGCAGGCTGAATCTCAGAAACATGGGGCAGAGGAGCTGAAAAGTCTCAAACATTATAGGGTAGGAGTTCTTAGCGAATTCAAAATGATTTTGTCATTGCTTTGTTAAGCTTATTCCTTCCGATCTCTTATCAAGTTATTTATAATTCTTGGAATTTTGCACAATCTCCTCCAGGTTGAACTTGAGAGGTTACGCCTTCTGTGCGAGCGGATAGTCAAGAGGGAGAAATTAAAGGTATGTTACACTACAGCATAAACCCAAAATCTTCCTTTCATTGAAACGAAACTCATGGGGGCTTGACCTGTTACTGGTTTGATATATTTGCAGCGAGAGTTGGCTATTTCCTCACATGAAATACTTGCTGCCAAAAGGGATCATGCTGCACGTTCATTACATGCCCGTAATCCATTTTCTCCTCCAGAAGTATCGTCGGACTCAGCTACAACATCAATAAAAGGTCATCCTGATAGTAATATATCTGGCAGTGAAGCAATACAGAGGTCAGATGATATCACCATTGACAGCACAGTCACTGATAAGCGCCGAGGCAAAGGTCCCATATTAATGGACACGGATCAGAAAACCGATGACAGTGCTACTTCCAAGAGTCGGTTTTCCCGTAAGCCAACAGAAAGACAGATCTTATCTGGGAAAACTGTTCCCCGCAAACATTGTATAGTGTCACCTAGTGTTTCAGAGGATGGAGATAACGGGTCAAAGCCCAAGAAGGTGAGAAGATTAACTTTGTCGTAAGTTGCATGGATTGTTAAGTTCGACTCTTTCTGCCCAACTCAGCACATTCATAGGATCTTACACTTGTTTGTCTTGATAACTGATAATAGCAGCATGTAGAAACATTTGCAAAAGAGCTGGTGATGACATCAGATGAAGCTTCTTTCAAGAATCGGCGGCTTCCAAAGGGATACTTCTATGTTCCTGTTGATCATCTTCAGGAAGACAAACCGGGAAACCAGAAGCTGGCTTCATCTGACAAGCCAGCGGACCAGAAGACATCTTCAGGTGATCAGTCAGGTAAAGACGACGGGTAAAAGCTGAGAACACACATTTTGGGCTCATTGCTCCTACCTTAATCAGATACTGGCCATTGGTGGACATTGCCTTCTGCGCCCTGACCAGGATTCACCAACTGGCTTAAAGCAAAAAGAACAGATGGTATTGCTACAAAAGAGCTGTGGCTGCAACTGAGAATCAGCTAAAAAAGCTATTGTGAAGCTTTTGGGTACTCAATACAAACTGTGCCTATTGGTAATGTTTGGGATTTGAGGGTAACATGTCATCTCTATAGAAAAAAAGGCTTCAGATTGGATTCAGGGAAGTGAGAAAAAAAGCTCCCTCTTACCATATAAAGAAGGACCGGTCACGTGTAATTCTGTTTGTATAAAGAAGCGGGAAAAAAAAGGGTTGCATAAGTGTAAATATTCATCAATTGTGTCTAAAATCTGACCAAGGGAATAATAATAGTGGTTGTCCGAAAATTCTTTAGTTATGCATATTTAGCTCATTTGGCTTTTTTTCCAAGATTACACTAACATGATCTAACTCAAGTAGAAGAAACAACAAAGCCAATCACTTAAGCAACAACGCCTGTTTTAACAACAACTAAGCAACATATTCTCAAGTATGTGATTTGTATACCTTTGGTTCTTCTTTACAAAATTTGCCATCTCCTCTCTTGCTCCCTCTTTCCCTTTCTTATAGACGTTTATCAAAGTTAGGAGTGTATGTTTAGTATTGGCTCCACTTAGCTGATTGGGAACTGAAATATCTTTTAGAGAAGTGTATTCCAAACAGCTCCTTCTCCTTCACTACATACTTCATGCACTATCTTCATTCTCTCTACCGATTTGCAAATCCCACTACAGCTCCATTCAAATGACGCCACACACACATCGCCCGCCTCTGCCTTCCATCTACAATCTGTGAGGATGTGAATGGAATGAACATAACCATTAGTAACAAGAGAGATAGAGGAAGATTGTGATGTAATTGAGCTAGACCTGGAGGAGTCCCACAACAGAAGTTGCGGTCATCAATATGTTCAACCTCAAGACCGATAAACCATGACCCCAAAGACACATCTTCATTTGCATACTTATGCAAAATTGGCCTGCATACAAAGTTTTAAACCTTTTAGGACAAACATTTGATGTAATACAGAAATACAGATGGAAGGCTCTTTATGAAAAGGATGCACGTACTGGTTGATGGATATGTATTTGGCAAGATCCTTCGAGATGGCATAGATCTGTCCTGTAGCATGTCGAAAGTATTTGTTACCATCCTCTCCAAATTTCCAATACTCAGGTTCATGGTACTTTACTGTCCTGAATACAGTTCAATAAACTAACTCAACAATACTCTTAACCAGTAACACCAGAAAAATTTGAAGCTGGACTCAGGCAAATAGAATTACTTTTGAGCAAGAACAGGCCCTGATTTCATACACCCAATATACACCCTCGGCTTTGAGCGGTGACGGACAAGTGTGGAAGCAAGCATACCTGCAAGACAAAGTTTAAGAACTTTTTGAAGGAGATAAAGGCAAAAAAAAAAGTAGAAGCAAGGTTTCTTACCGAGATTGACGTGAACATCATCATCGACCTTGATATAGAACTCTGCATCCCATTTAGCTACTGCAGTGGAAAAGAATATCTTGGTTTTTGCTGAGAGTTCGTGATATCCTTCAACATGCTCCTGCAACCAATAAGAATTTTAAACAGGAAAAAAAGTGAAAAATTGTATCCTTTCATAGAAATGTAAAATTTGTCTCACCAGCCTAAGGAAGTCTTTGTGTTGAGCATCTTCTGAATCAATAGCTCTATCCAATATACTATTTGACGTCGCACTGCCAACACATTTGTATACACTTGAGTCAATCTCAATCTAAGATACATGAAATTCCTAGAATATATGAACCTCTGAGAGAAAGAGAAGCAGCTTCACCTGTGTCCAATCATGAACTTGATGACAATTCCCTTGTCTTGTTCTAGTTTTTCAAGCTTCTCCCCTGTGAAAAATCCACAGCTCTTAACTAGATCCAAGAAGCGGTAAATATGAACAAAGTTACAATAACATTAAGTTTTAAACAAAACCTTGAGGCATCCAGGTTTCTCTAACTGAATCACGCCGTTTTCTACTGCTAAATGCGGTATTAATTCCCATTACCATAAACACTTTCTTCCTCGGGGTTTCTCCCGTTAAAGAGTTGGTTGTTTCCGAGCCATCTTGAGAGGTCTTTGTAGAGGCCAACTGCATTTCAAGCGTAGAAACCGACTTATCCAACGACCTGTCACCCCTCCAAAGACATAGAAAAAAAGCTATAACATAAAGAGAGAAAGCAAGTTGATTTACAAGACACAAAAGAAGTCAATTTTGTCACTCACTGTATTGCTTCGTGAGTTCTCAAAACTTGGTCAATTACATCTTTTTCTTGAGTAGCTTTCTGCATTTGAGCAAATCAGAAGAAGAACCATAAGTCTAAAACCCAAATCTCTTTGAAACAGAAAATCTTGGTTTTAACGAACACTAAAAACACATATTCTTGAAATTTCTACTAAAGTGAATAAAGAAGCATACTTTATTATGAGCACAATCGTCTGATACAATCTGAAGTTCATGATCACGACGGAGCTGTGAAATTAGCTGACTTCCGGAATCTGACGGCGGCTCCCATGACCTGACATCCCCAAATTCCCACCAATTGCAACAAAAGCAAGAAACCCATTAAGAAAAAATCAAACAGCAACAAAAAGGCAGAACAAGAAGATTATAGTAGAGGAGAAACAAAACGATAAAAGAAGAAACTTTGAGAGACCTGGAGGTGAAGATTGCTCCGAGAGCGAAGAAAGAGATGCAGAGAAATGGAACCCATTTCAGAGATATTACTCTTTTGGAGACTTTGTGCTTCATCGTGGTGGAGATGTTGAAGGAAGAGAGAGTGAGATCAGAAGATGTCCAGATTTAAAGGGAGAGAGAGAGAGACACAACACAATCAACAACATTTTATCATGGGATGAGACCAAATTAAAATTAGTAAGTTTCCGAACAAAACTTTTTATTACACTTTCTTGACTTTTATTTATGCAAAATTTAATGTTATTCACACCGTCGAATATGAAACGTCATTAATTTTACATAGAAACAAATTAATGGAAAAAAAAACAATAACAACAACATAGAAACAGATGATTTGGCATTCGAATTTGTGTGAAAATTCTAACCTCGGAGTACAAAATTATTTTTCATATCATATCCCACTAATTAGTCTATGACATTAATATTCACTTAATTTTGTTTGTTTTTTTTTTTTTTTTTCTTTTACACTAACTTAAAAAGAATTGATTTCTCGGCTAATGTAGATTGCATAGTAAACACCAAAATGAATTATGGGAAATGATAGCACTGATTGTACATGAACCATGAATTAAATAAAATAAATAGAACAATAACGCGAAAGATCAATGATGGTATAAACTATAGTTTAATCTTTCTTTCTATTTTTTTTAGTAACAACAAGATCTAAACGAATGTCTTAATTAGAGATGAATTGTCAAAAAGGCATTTTGAATTGAAAAGTAATTAGAGACCGTCAAAGATGGTTAGGCGGAAGAATGCGTGTCGGTTTCGTTGATCGTGTCACTCACGTCGCACGCCGTGATGTGTGGTTTCTAGGATTTTGCAGACCTTTATTCGATCCAATTAGGCCCAATTCAACACAATTTACCGTTTGAATTGTTGTTTTTTAAAAACATCTTAACGTTTGAATTGTTATGTTTTAGTACATGTTTATCGATTAACCTAAATTAATTTTGGGGGCAAACTTGCCGATATAACACATGTCTGAAAGTAACTAAATTGAATTGTTTATGTTTAGTAAACAATTCAATTTACTCAACTAGATGTTTTAGAAAATATATGATATTATTCTATTGATTTTCTAGAATTATTAGCATTAGCATTTTGTATTAACAATTGTATGCATATTATATAATGTACCATTCATGGGGAATAAATCAGTACGTAGCTCTTTCCTTCTTCACGTGAAAAAGGTCTGTGTGATTTTCGATTTTTCATTATAAGATTGCTGCATGCGTTATTAAGTCTGTGCGATAACAAATACTCATTCTTTTCCAGATCACTATAAATATAAACAAATCAAACCTTCTCTATCCATCTTCTTAATATTTCGTCCTATCTCTCTGGACGAATTAAAGCTTAATTAATACAAGTGTTGCTATAATGTGCTTCTTGTTATATTAATTAATGATTTTCTAATAGATTTTAAAACATAGCTTATGTGGAATTTCGAACTAATTAACTCCTGGTGCAGATGGAATTGAACCTACGAGAATCAATGAATCATGACCTATGAGATCACCATAGATTCATAATCTACGAGACCAACGTGACAAACAAAAGTCAAGAGCAAGGGCAAAAGCCCTAGAAAACTAGTGTTCGTAGATCGATTAGCCATATTTTGATTCTTATCTGTTATCTATGCTTTGATTAATAATCGAAATATTGTTCAATGTTATATTCAAATTCGTATTTTTTGTAGGCTCTAAATGAATCAGCTAATTTTTGCCAAAACATTCTCTTTCACCTGATCATTGCAAGTAAACAATAAAAAAAAAATTAAGGATTAATTTGATTGGATACCCAAATCTTATAAGAAATTTGAAATTTCTACTAATTTTTTTTTAATATTTGAATTTATACTTATATCAAGAACCTGATCTTAGCTCTCAAGATCAACATACATAATACATTGAGTGATTCCGGCCATATTGGAGAGCAAGGTTCAACCTATCTTAGCAATTAACCAGATCAACACAATTAAAACTATTAAGACTTAAGAGTTCTCCAAATTTAAACATTTTAATTTAGTACAATCTTCGCTAAATATGTATTGAACTGTTGATCATCGATCTTAAATGGTTTTAAGAAAGAGATTAGTACTAATTAAACAAGAAAACTATCTGTAAAGTTATGGAGTTGTTTTTTTCTTTCACCATATTAGTCGTCATTTCTCAAATAATATACCAAACTATAAGCTATTAGTGTTATATATATATATATATATATATATATATTGGTTGGGAAATTATTTTCTTAAGAAAAAAAGTTAGCTGTCAAGTTTTCTCTCATGCATGTACTGGTACATTTTTCTTGCTAACAAGTATGTTAAGAAATGAAGTTATGAAACATATTTTGGCATTCTTCCTCCAATTTGACACTTTAAACTTTATTATTGATGAGCCTAAATTGTTTTCAGAAAAGATTCAAACTAAAACTGAAAAATCAACGTAAAATACATATCACAATTTTTACATATTTTTGAATTAGAAAAGCGAGGTTCCACCCAATGACTCAGCATTCTTTTTAATTTTAAAAAATCATATAATTAATAACTTCAGTTTCATCATAGTTTGGACCAAAATTTTGAAGACTAGTACGATCAGAGCAGCATTGTGATATGTATATATTATATATCACCTGCAT